TCAAATAAAAAATACTGTGATCCTGCCTGCGACTTTCTGTAGTGTGTATTGATTAACATCAAGGTTGTCAAAATGAGCAAGAACCCACCAATGTCCTGGATGTGAACAGACACGAACAGAACCGTAACGCACCTTACTTTCCCTTGGCCTTTCCCACAATATAATTAGCTGAGTTCCTTGGAACCTGACATATTTTTGGCACTTATCTTAAAGCACATACTTATCTCACTGAAGACATGAACCTCCCACACCCTGCCTTCCACCTTCTGAGAAGAAAAGGCCAAAGCTCCAGGTGACTGTTACCTGGGTTCTGCCCAAATGCATCTGGCTTGGGTACGGCTCACCCCAAGTCACTGCAAAGGAAGCCACCTAAGCGACGCGGCATGACCGTCTCACCCAAGGAATGCTTACGGGAAAAGCCAAAGGTTAGGATTTGCAATTGGGCATGAAGTCTGCGAGAAGATGAAGTGTAATTGCTCATTTCCCCCACCAACAAACACTTTGTTTATGATTTTGATTGTCTAAATACTCAGAAAAACGAGGCATAAGTGCTTTTGCCTTAATGCTCCTTTCTCAGTCCCTAATAACAACTTTATGTGCTGCACAGAAACAGACCGTGTAATTTATTCAGGAAAATCAAAACCAGTAATCTGGTATTCTGTGTAAAGATTTTTTCCCCTGAATGTGCTTAAAAACACTGAAAAAGAAAACAAATCTGCATGTGAAAACAAAGGCTTTAAAACGAATTAGTATTCTAGAAAAATCAAACCAAGAGAATTCCATAAAAGTAACCGTTTTCCTTTCTGTTCTTTTCCTGATAGAAGAAAGCAATTTAGCCACCTTAAATAGTTGAACAAGAAAGAAAATATTGCCCTTAGCAGGGTCCTGCCCAGGAGGAGGGGGGCGTTTTTCTTTGCATTATAATCATACAGTGACTTTACCTATAAATTCTGAGCAAGAAATGTCCAGAATAACCACACTTCATAGCTCTTCTGAGTTTGAGACATCCACATAGCAACAGTCTCATGATAGGAAAACATTAATGCTTTTTATATTGGTGATCATCTGTAACATGAGCAATTAAGTACAGTACTAATGGACTATGGCCAGGAGCCTGGTACTAATATTAAAAACTGACAGAGACGAATAGGTTTAGAAGCAAGACCAGGCTGACAAAGACATTTTTATGAAGTGCTTGGACCTATTTGATTTAAACCAATCAGAGGCAAGTTTGGACGAGTCAGGCCTTCCGCGACAATGATGCATTCACAGGCATTGTAGCATTTCTGCTTTGCCTTAAATAAAAACACCCATTGATTCTTTTCAACAACCCACACTTTCATTATTACACTCATTAATAAACCAAAAGTGCACAACTAATATATAAGTAACATTTACAGAGGAACCGGCTATTTTTTTCTTGTTGGAAAATGAAAACATTTACGGGAAACATGAACCGCACCGCATGAAAAATAAATCAGTGGATAATGCAGAGTAGATCACTCATTTCCTCTTCATCTTCTAGGACAGCAAAGCTGGGGGTAGGCAAACAGGAAAAGGACCAAGTTTCTATACCAGAGTGTAAAGAATCAGAGACCAGAGATGAACCAGCAGTGGAGGAAAAACCCCTAGGGATCTGATCTGATTTGAAAGGATTTGCAAATTTCCAAGAACAACTCCAGCTAGATGTTTTCCCATAGCATCCTGACTCTTTCCAACTCTTTGAACCTTCTTCAAAACGGTGGTCCTTCACCAGCCTAGTCATCTGTTTTGTGTTAGCAAGAACGAATGAAATTGGCCATAATCACTAAGTACAGTTTTAGCCAAGAGCTTCAGCTCTTCTTTGCCCAACTCTTTCAGGTGTCTGGACAGATCAGAGTGCCCTCTGCCTTTCTCTGCTCAAACCATTCAAGGGAAGCAAGACATGGAGAGCAGCGGTTCCTAAACTTTTCTCCCACCACAATGCACAGGATGGGTGACTCCTGTGAAATCACAATGTGGTCAGGTGAACAGGCATTATTGTTAGTAGAGTCTGAATATAATTTTTAAAAGTCAATCATCTGCAAATTTGGGCACTTAACTCTTATTGATTACTAATTATTCAAGACACCATTATTTCTGATCACAACAATGTGAGGGGCGCCTAGATGGCATAAAGAAATACTAAGGAAGGGTTATGGACCTCGCTAATCACCTGGGGTCAGCTGTGCTCTAACCTGGGCTTCAGGCTCTGCCCTGAGATTTCCATGCTGGGGGTCCCACTTAGCAGATGGACTAATGTCTCTCAACTCCAGTTCCAGCCTCTGTGCTCTGTTTGGTAATGTTGGGGCTGGGGCTCTGTAAATTACATCTCATTTGCCATTTCTCTCCTGCAAATGGAGCCCTACCAGGTCAGGGGAGGAGAGAGGGGACCTCTTTCTTTGTATTTTGCTTGCTCTTCATTTCAGTGCCAACTCGACAGTAACTTAGCCGCGGCAGTTGGTTCCAGCCTCTAGCTTCTTTCAACAATACCAGGGCAGTTTCAATGCATCTCCTCACCAGCCAGGGAGCACAGTCTCCTAGGTCTGAGCCCAGCTCCACAGGGCTCCTCTGAAGCACCAGCACGGGGTTGGGTGCCTCTCCTAGAAGCGATCTGAACCCCAGCTCTGTGGGGCCCACTCCCTGAACGCCTGGGTAGCAACACCTCTTATTTCAATTCTCGCAGCCCTGAGAAAACTGGTTATTAACTTTGTATTAATGTAGTGTTTCACACCTACTCTTGTTTAAGCAATTCCTATAGTAAATTCTCTTTGTTGAATACCTACTGTGCTTTCTGCATTTCCCTTACTGATAGACATTGACCAAACAAATTCATAATTCAAACTCAAAGACAGAGCTTTTCAAAAAATGTTATCCAGTGGGGAACCAAACCTTTATGAAATATCCATTCTACTCCCAAGAATGAGAAAAGAAATTTTTAAACATCTTTAATAATGTTTCTGAGTTGCTACAGTTTGAGGTATCTCTACTAGAATTTTCCAATTTGAATGGCATTTGGGATTCTGCTACTCCAAGAAGAGGTAAATCATGAAGCTAAATATTTTGCCATTTCATTTAAGACTGAGGTTATTTTTATCTACAAAACAGCTTGTGTTCATCACACACACACACGCGCTCGCATGGGTGTACATGCCCCTATTAAATTCAATCTTCTTCCATCCCAAACTTTATCTGTTTTCTGACCTTGTGATGCTTTGTAATACATTTGAGTAATTTTTCACTAGGTGAGGTAGCTAATAGCTGAGATACATTCCTTTTTTCAAATTTTAATTGTTATCCTTTAAGTTTGATGGTTCATGTGTTGTGAACATTTTCATAGGAGGTAAGGAAGGTTCACCATCAGAATAGAAGCTATTTGAAAGCATGGTGTTTCCAATAAAAATATTTTAACTAAAACCTTAAATTATAAGTGAAAGCCAAGTGATGATGATAACTTGGATGGTTATTTACAACAGTCACCTGAGAGAGCAAGGCTGTTCTGTGCCGGTCCTTCCATGCTGTAACTGTGATGTGCAGCGAGCTTCCGCATTAAATACCGAGAGAAATGACACACTTAAGATACTGATGTACTATATTAGAAACAATGCTATGAAGAGTAATTTGAATTCCTGTTTCTAATTTTTAGAAATCTGGATTATAATACTGGCAAGTAAGACAAATTTTGGGGAACGTTCTGTAGGAATTTTTCTTGGGGTACTAAACCCAATTCAGTTTATTATAATTACAAAATACTACTACTACTAATAACGAAGTTTGTTATAACTATAAAAACATTGTGAGTTTCATTGAACAGCTATACTAAAAGAGGCTCTGTGTTAAATGCCATACAGATAAAAATATAATTGCACTCTGAAGAACTATGACTAAGAGTTGATGTGTTAGATGACATTATCTGAAGACTCATTTGTATGATCCAGAGGTGGGTGGTAAGCTACGGGGTTGAAGTTGGAATACTAATTGACTGTGTGAGAAGCCACAGTCAAATTTATCAGTTGTATTTTAACTTCTCAGCTAGCAAGTTAACTGGCCTGTTTGTTCAGCTGACTATGTCTTGCTTCATTTCACCCGTGGCCGTTATTACAGCACACGTAGACACACACACACGCAACCTCCACTCAGAGCTCACAAGCTCTGAATTTGAAACCAGGGAGCTGAGTCAGCCCACACTTCAGAAGGGAAATGCCACTGACAAGGAAGTTGGTGTGGCCTAAACAAATTCAGTACGGGCCTGAAGCATGGAGCAAGGGTAACACCCAAATCTGCTAACTGGTCTTCAGTGTGGAGGCTAACACAGTCCTAACGCCAAGGGAAACTATTCCTGTGAAGACAACCCTCAGAGTAGTCTAATGTGGCATTACTTCTTGTTTGTATCATCATCACCTTCCTAAAGAGGTTTAACTGTTAGAAAGCTAAACCACACAGAGCTTAGCAAGAAAGGATTTCCTGGGTCGAAGAGCACAGCCATAGAAGAACAATACCAAGATGGGTAAAAACAAAGAATCTTATCTGGGGCTCATTTTCTTATTAAAGAAATGCTTACTTTGCAGTATTAATACATTCAACATTAATACATTTCATGTTAATACAGTTACATGGCAACTCGTAGTAACACTGCTATGCTTCCCAGATTCTGAAAGTTCTCATAGCAAATGAACCTACAGAGAACACTGAGTAATCTATGCTTGTGGGGGGAAATGGTATTGTCAGGCAGATGGTCACAGGATAAAGGCAAACTTAAAAAGAACATCTAATTTTAGCCCCAGTAACCTGAGAAAGCAATGTCCCTTAAAAATCATAAGGCACCATGCAAAATAAAATGCTGGAGGAATATTTTCTGTTTCCTAAAAGGTCCTTCAGACTTCTTCTGGTATTAAACTTGACCAGAAGCATCTTCCAATGAACACAATTTCAATTAAGCAAGGACTTTCCAAAAATTACAATTTTTTTTTTTTTTTTTTTACCTTTCATAATGTCTGCGGGTACAAGTGGCGGCGCTGGTGCTCCCAGGATTACCGCCTAATTCATCATAAATGTGTTTCCATTGACGGCGGGCTGTTATCTGAAAAAATGGCAATGGGAAATTTAGTCTTGCATCATAAGAGATTCGCAGTGCCAGGATTCAATACGTATGCAACAGTCAGAAGACAGCAGTCTGTTCCGGAAACCCAGAAACAGAGAGGTCCAAGTGAGTACACAGGGAGACCTATGGTTTTCCAGTGAGATCTCACCGTCAGCACTTTTCTTTACGAGAAAGATGGAATTCTGCTTTTGGCTCTATATTTTGTCACCCTTGGTGCATTTTCATCTAAGGCACCTCCCTGGATTCTTACGTAGTTATCTGTCCCCCAAGGTCCCAACCTCATGCTCTGTTCTTTTATGTCATGTGCTGAAACATCAAAATAATAAAACAAATTTTCCCTAAAATATACCTTAGTACACCAGTGTAAATGAGCAGAATTAACATCAGTTACTTGTGGGGTGTGGAAATGGGCGGCCAAGTTGAGAGACATACTTATCACCAAACATGCTTTTGTATCTTCTGATGTTCAAACTGTGTGATATGTTGCCTACTTTCAAAACTAAATAAATTACAACACCAACTAATTAAACTGATCAAATTGGTTATGCAATTTACAGTCATTTCAGGCTACATTTTTATGACAGCTCCTGTAACCACCAAAACAAAATCAAACTCTGCAACCGTGCATGTCACCCAAGCTGTTTATTTTTATTCACTTAGGTCAGGAAAATGGGATATCGATCAGATCCTATGAAAACGAACGTATTCCACAGTTGAAATGTAAGTTATGCATATTATTCAGTTAGGTGAATAAAAACAAACAGATTGCCATATACTGAATGGCATACTATAGTCTTATTTTTATACATGGATTAAGATTTTTACCAAATAACAGATGCAAAATCTGGCAAATGATTAATTGGGAGAAATCCCATCATTTACTACATCTGAGAAAGTCTAGTGTTTCCTTGAAACTAGGAAGGCAGACAAGTTCTAAGGTCCTTGGGAAAATTTCTAAACAAGGTTACAGGAAAACAGTGATTGGAATGCGCAGGGGCAAGGCGTGACAACGGGACCAGTGGCATTTCATACAATCAGAGCAGGAGGCTTCTTTTGAAAACTACAGAGGGGCCAGCAGTATCTACCTAGGGGCTAAAGGCAGTAATCCAGGGGAAAAATCTCAACTTGCAACCAGGGCTTCTGCAATTATAAGGAAGAAGTGAAGGGGGGTTAAATATTATAAGGTAAAGGGTGCCTTTTCCATTTCCAGTAAAAAGAACCCCTTCATTTCCATAAACCCTTCTCAACAGGCCCAAGTAGGACCTCGAGACAAGGTGAGTTCTGCCCTATTCCAAGTCCCATGAATCATTCCTGAACCTATTTATTTCATTTATCTTCATTAGACAGAGCTGCCTACTAGTAGGTATAACTGAAAACAAAATCCTCCTTTAATTGTAGCTTGGTTTTGATTATAATAAGTGGTTTCAAGCCCCTTTTAAAACACTCAAAATACTTATTTTGGTAATTATTTTATATTTAATTATAATCTCCCTCCAACCTTTTAAATAATACAATTCCTGGCTGATCTATTGTGAGACCTACATATCAAGGAAGAAGAAACAGGATCCCCTCCTTCCAAATGTTCATGTAGTTTCTCAGAGCCCACACTAACCTCCCTCAGAAGAGCCCAGCAGGGCCAGAAAACAGCCTATGTATGTTCCTACTTGACCAGAAACCATCACTCTTGACATTCTTGTATCTGGTGTTCACTGTATTGCATAGTTTATAAAGAGTTTACCGACCCATAATATCACTTAATCCTCCCATAGCCTGTGAGGCAGATTATAGCAATCTCATTCACAGAAAGATGGGAGACTCAGAGGTTGCATGATTTGCCCAAGGGCATTCAATAGCAGAATGGCAATACTAAGGTTCATACTGTCTTATGGTCCCAAGAGGAGACTTTTTTCCACTACAACAAAGCAGCCTCCATATCAGAATGACCTTGTGAATAACCCACGTGTGTAGCAGGTGATAATACTGAACTCCAGAGCCTTTTGTTTCAAATGAGGCAGATGGCTGTGCAAAGTACAGCTGCTACTGCAAGTTCTCAACTTTGAGCTTTGAGTCTCTTACTAGTGGGTAAATAGTGTAGCTACAAGATCAGCATGAATCTAAGGGGGTTGTGCTAGGTTAACAGTGCTCTGAGATTTTACTCTTAAAGAATCAGGTAAAACTATGGTTCCTTCTGGCCCTGGCTGGTGTAGCTCAGTGGATTGAGCATGGGCTGAGAACCAAAGTGTCACTGGTTCGATTCCCAGTCAAGGCACATGCCTGGGTTGCAGGCCAAGTCCCCACTTGGGGACACACAAGAGACAAACACACATTGATGTTTCTCTCCTTCCCTTCCTTCCCCTCTAAATATAAATAAAAGTAAAATCTTAAAAAAAAAAAAACAACAAAAAGCTATGGTTCCTTCTATCCTGACTACTCATGCCTCTAGTTAGAACAGAGGTTTCATTATTATGTTCAGCAGAGCGTCACAAATAAGTTCCAGTTTTACCTGAGTCCATCCATTCACTCATCCATTCATTCACCATTCATCGAACATCTCCCATCTGTTGGGTACTGTGCTAGCGGCTGAGATGCAACAATGACAAACAGACCCAACACCCAACCTTGTGGTGGATACCAATAATAAACAACTGACCAAATGTATACACAAAATAATACAAATTGTGGAAAATGTGATGAAGAAGAGACCAATGCATAGAAACTGATCATGTCCACCCCCCACATCCTATTGTCCAGACTCAAGAATGCCCTGTTAAACATTTGCCTATCACAGAGATGACAAAGCTTCTTTAAGAATAAACAGTGACTTATCAAAAGGAAAAAAAAATCTTCTTTACACTAGTACTGAAACTGTAGTAGCAGGAAGCCAGCCTCAAAGCACCACTTGGTGGATGGAGTAAGCCATGTGCAGCAGGCTAGGGGTCTGTCTTAGCCCCCTGCTAGCAGGCTCTCATTTTTAAACACAGTTTTTACTAGTGAGGACTCATCTGGAGTGAAGACAAGGGCTGGGCCTTCAAGGAAGTGGTCTCTCTGTTTACTGAGCTTCCACTGGCCAGCCTGGATGAATCAAGCCATTCTCAGATATTTTCTTTCCACAGGAAAGTCATAAAATGTGCTCCTTCCAACTGCTAACTGCTTTCATGGACACAGTTCTTCTAGGTACACCTCTCTATTTTTGGGTGCCCAGGGGTGCTTTTAATTCAAATGCTGGCCATGGGCTCTAAAGCAAGAAATGTCTAAATCCTCCCACTGTCCAAGGTTATAGTGGGTGGGTCTCGTGGCCCTATTAGGAGAGAGGAAAAGACATGAGAAGTCCTCCTGGTCCAGCTACTGGGCACCATACTCCCACCTGTATAAATCCTCCTTCTGTTCTAATGTGCCTTCACCTTGCCTCATTATGCATTTGCTTAGGGTTTTTATCCTGTTGTCCAATGTCTTCTCTCGATGTGTGTCAGCTTTAAACCCCATCTAGGGCAGAACCAACATCTGCTGCCTGCTACCTAGACCCCAGCCCCATTCAGCTGGAAAGTTTGATCTAGCCAAAGAGTTAGTTTGATCAATTCTCTCATAAGCTTCAGGCCCCCCCGGACATGTTCACATTTCAAGTTGACCTTCTCTTTATTTTATGTTTTTAAGGATACAAAGAACTTCTAGCTCTTCATTTCCTAAAGAAGATGGCCAAATTCATCAGGCAGTTATTTCTCTTGATTGAGCTTCCCCTATTCTCCTTCAAGGTCCTCACTTAGAGGACAGGGATTTGTGATAGCAATCCATCTTCTTCAGTTTCCCGTTTCAGGGCCCTGTGTCAGGTACAGGGGCATGGTTGAGGGTGGGGAGGTACCATGGAAAGAAAGAGATGTTGCAGCTTTCAAGGGTTCATAATTGAGCAGAAAGCACAACCCCATACTGTTAACCATAAAGCAAGATGAAAAACTGAGCAGACCACACCCAGGTAGAATAAACCCGTCTAGGTATGTGTGGGACTTAATCACACTTTGAAGACACTTCAGAGTTACTTCTCTCCCTAGTGTGGTAAGACCCAAGAAACTGTGAAAAGTACTCTACACCTTTTATGTTCTTGAAGTTTCACTGCTTAAAAATAAATACAGTGGTTTTCAAACTGCTTTTTGGAACCCAGGTGGTGGGGTAAGGGTGGCCCAAAACTAACCCTCCTCAAGGCCCACCCCTGCCAAGAATACAGGTCCAGTGAGTAGGAAAGGAACTGTCCCTTCCACAGTTTCCTTGGTGAAAATATCCTGCCATGATTTTGCTACCTTTGAGGTTGCAGGGATGAACTAATCTTGGAATTTTTCTGGCCTGGTGAGGAAATGGCAATTAGAAATCTTTAGGACTTTAGAGTTTCCATGGCTTAAGAACGTGTAGGAAATTGGGAGTCAAAAGGAGAGTTTTCCGGCAAGCAGTGTCGCCTGGGCTGCTCTGAGAAACAGCTTCTTTCTCAGGACACCTTGAGGGCGCACTGAATTCAAGGAAGATGACTTTTTTTTCCTGGTAGTACTCCAGGAACTGGAGCCTTTCAAAACTACATGACATCATCTTTGGCTTCAAAAATTTTGAATTAAGCAAGAGGCTTTGTCTGTCCAGAGAACTAGGGTTAGTAGATTCATAGGATGTCTTGAATGATGTCAAAGCCAGAATCTGGTGTCCAAGTCTAATTCTTTTAGGCAGAAGACAAGTGACTGACTTCCTCTCCCAGATGAAAAATAACGGTCTTGTCTCCCCTGTGGGGAGAGTCAGGGCTGCTAACTGACATTTTTTTAAGGAACCATTTGCATGGTCTTCTGCCTGCAGCATAAGATTTACTTAAGGCCTATTTCCCTGCTCTACTACCTTCTTTCCAAATATTCCCTCTGGCATGTCATCAAATAAATGGTTAGCCAAGTAGAAATCACTTTAGCAAACCACCTTCAATACACTGCATCCCAAGCTACTCTGCGAGGGACTACGTGCAGGCCTCTTAGCTCATCAGCAACTTTACCCAGTTCTGCCTCTTCAGCTGTAGGTGACCATACTATAAAATGTTATAAGCTGGATATGACTGTGAAGAAGGGGTCCTCATTGCCAACCAATCAAAATGCCAGGATACTGTTTTTTTTTTTTTTTTAAATCAGATTCATTCAATACATTTAGGATCTCTACACCTAAGGATGCGGAGACACAATGTACATTTCCAGCAAAGGCAGAGGAGCCCAAGAGAACTGAATATAGACATTAGTTGAATGTTATGAAGGCATAAAATAAAAATTTTGCTCCTCTTTCTTTTTTAAATTCAATTTGAGGGTTGTGAAGAACTGAAATGAAATAATCCATAATCCACAATTCAAACCAGAAGGTTTGAAATAGTTTATAACCACAAACAAAAACAAACCAATTATGATGGCCTCTTTTTATAACCAGAAGAAATTCCAGAGGGATGTCTCTATCCAATCACCAGTTAACAGCAGAAGACATACATTTACAAATGTTAAACTTGAAATTTTTTACTATTACTGAATGTTTACATCATGCAGACTTTCCGACCCATCTCCTAAATTCACACATTTTCCTCAAGAATCAGATGAAGTCTCAGCTGGTAATTGTTTATCTGCTAAGGATCATGTCAGGTACAAAGAAGTGACTGAAAGGTGCTACTAACAAAGGTAGATTATTAAATCCTTTTTCCCCGAGTCACCAAAACATGTAGAAAGCCTTCTGGCTACATAATAGACTGCTGAGAATGGAAAGCACAAACAATGACCATTCACAAAACTCTTTCACTTTCCAGTGGCCATGAAGGTTAGTACAACTGTGCACAAAACTTGCAGCATATCAGAATCTGAAGAACGCCATGATGACCCGCGCAACTCCTGACACCTTCTTGCGCCTCGGTTTCCTCACTGGTAAAACAAAGGTAGGGGTTGGAACATAACCAGGGTATTTTTCTACACAAAGGCCAATTTGTGAAAAATAAAAATGTTAGGGTGCTACACTTTCCCTTATTCAAAATAAAAATAGCTTATTGAGTCTCAATTCACATGACCGCTTTATCAAAGGGAAAACACTCACTGGAAACTTCATGCTGCTTCTGAGCCAACAAAATATGAGTACATTGGCACGTTTACTTAGTAGTTGCATGAAGATAACTTTCTCATCCTTGACACTTGACTTTAATAGGGTCCAGGTTTTGAAGCTCTGACCCATGAGGGCCAGGAGGTGAAGTGTTAATAATTGTTGTTACAATTAACTTTGAATTCACACCACCTGGCCTGCTTAAGAAACGGGATTCTCAGGTTGTCAGGCCCAGGCCCCACCACTAAGTTAACATTTCAGTGTGGGGGCTGGACAACTGCTTATACACGCAAGTTCCCCATTGAAAACTTGAACCCCAGCTGTTGAGTAGCCTTTGGAGCCACTGATCTAGAAGATTCTGAGATCTTTTTTGAGTTCTAAATGACAAGTCTACACTTGCTCTGGTATCAGATAATCTCACAGATAAGTGTCCTCTGGTAACACTGTGATGACAACTTAAGTCCCCAGGCTTTGGATATTATTCATACATCTTGTGGACTAACTTCAAAACTGAATTCTCACTGACTGTCTCAAAATTTTACTAGCCAAAATATACCAAAAGAAAGTTTTGTTTTGTTCTTAGGAGATTCAAAGGCTTAAATGTAGAATGAGAGTAGCAAATGTAAGTGTCTACAGGGCCAACAGGTAATATAAGGCACTTCTAAAAAGAGAAAGAAAAGAAGGGAGGGAGGGAGGAAAAAAATCCCACCAATTAGCTTCATCTAGTTTATGGCCCCAGATGTAGATTTTATAGAAAGATGTCTATAGAGATTCACCACCTGAAATGAGATGAAAACATTTGGAGTGCTATGAAAAATGGTAGTGAGCCAATGAACAAGGAGGGAGCTGAAGTATGAATGAAAACAGAAGATAAAGGGCAGTCCCAGAAGTCACCAGTCCTCTTGTGGCTTGGCTAAAGTGACATGGAGCATACAACCAGATAAAAGACAAATGCCAATCTGGTCTTCCATATTCCTCCAGCCCAGCCTCTCTCTACCTGACTCTATCTACACATGTGGTGAAAGCAGAGTAAGTGGCAAAGCACACCACCCAGCTTGTTACCAGTCTCCCCTGCGTCTCCCTGCGGCCTGCTGAGTAACTCCAGGGCCTAGCATCCAAGATCTCCTCCTTGGCTCCATCCCTTTCTCATGGTCATTTGTCACTGACACCTAGTCACTCAATGTTAAGTTCCTCAAACTCTCTATGCCCAGCTTGTCTACCTCCATGTTTTCTTTCCCCATTTGATTTTTCTCTTCCAGAAAGGCCATGACCTTTCATTTCTAAATACCATCCATTCTCCAAAATTCTGCTCAGCTGGCATCAGAGCCATAAGTCCTCCTTCCCTCATCTCTAAATGAGGAAGCACTTTACCTGAACAGGGCACTGATCTTTCTCCACCTTGTCTTATAATGCCTGTATCTCCACCACAGTAAGCAACTGGATCCATTGGCCTAGATATTTTTGTATCTCCCGGAGTGCTCAACACGATGCTTTGTACACATAAGACACTCACTAAATCCAGGGTGGGGCAAAAGTAGTTATGCAGTCGTGAATTCACAAAACACAGGGTTCATTTTTGTATCATTATTTATTAATTATTGTATTATTTTCCATATGAACAACTGTAAACCTCCTTTTGCCACACTCTGTATATGTTTAGGTGATTTTCTAATTGTGTGATCATTCATGCATTCACCCACTCATTCATGCATTCTACAAAAGAATAAATACAATTTGTTCAAAGAGTACTACAAATGCCCTGAAACTTATCAGAAGTTTCCTTTGTATATTCTATACCAAGTTGCTGTTGCATGAGAAAAAAGTGCTTGTGAAAATACAGAAGATACAAAAGCAGGAAAAACTCATTCTGTGAAATTTGCTGGCATTCTCCCTATCAGCGAATAACAACAAGTTCCTGGGTTTAAAATGACATTTCATAATATTGCGCAACATCATGTAATGTATCTGTAGTACGAGCTGTAATATCACAGCTTGTAAATATATGTATTCCAATTCTTAACACTACAAGTTAGAGTTAAAAGTCTAGGCTCTGGGGTTGGCTTCTAAATTTATGAGACTAACCCCGAATAAGTTATCTTTTCACACAGATGAAGGCTAAAATTAGCTCAAGATTTTGCAAAACCACAGGCCACAGTGGCAAAGGGTCAGTCTCTTTGTCCAATCAACAGATCCACCCAAGTGAAAAATCACATCGTTTATTTTTATGTATGGTACTTGATAAGACAAATATTTTAAGTAAATTCATGTCTATGAAATGTTCGTTCTACATGTAGTTCATATCAGTATTATCTTTCCTCATAAACATATATAGAGAGCCCATATGTTAAGTAAACATATTACATGCATATATAGTCAACATTACAGAGTTTTTAGTCAGAAATCAGAGCAGGTTTCTCTACAGTAGATACCAGATTATGTGAATCATATAATGCTTGTCATTTTTTTCTGTCCCAACCCCTGACATCAAGCCATTATATTTATTTGTGGAACAATATGCTATATCTGGCCAGAAATACTAGTTAATATGTTTGAGCTAAAATGAATTTCATTTTCTTGACTTTTTGTCTCTTACTGTCATTTTACTATGCTACAGAGATATCCCAGGTTACTTCGTAAGGAAAGAAAATACAATTTCTTATTCAATTGCAGAAGAAACTGCACAACTTAATCTGATCATTGTGTGAAGGAGAAAATATTTCCAATGACGACATCTTGCTATGTCAATTGATTTCATTACAGATGTCATCTCTGTGTGCTATATTAATGCAGTGCTTTCTTCTTCTTTCAAGATTGTAATCTTAGTTTGTTGCTCTAACATTTTCTTGGTTCAAAATACATGCTGTAAAAATCTGTGGCCATCAAATTTTCCTGTGGGCTAAAAATAACCTGTTCCTGTCAGTTAGAATTAGCTGATAAAGAGTGTCAGAGCCTGTTCTGAATAAGTCTGATAACTTCCTGTTTATGTGGCACTGACCCTTGTCTAATAAAGCTTCTTTGCCCTAGAATGAGAGGAGATTCTGCTGCATTTTATTCCTTAATGGCCAATACTGATTACTTTTGAAAGCCTTTAATACATTTCCCATATTAGACATGAACAGATGTCAGGTATGTTGCCAAGGGAAATTTCTTTTATGCAATCTTGGCTTGTTGGACAATAATAGCCCTTTCTCAACATGGAAAAAAATTACAGACCCAACTAATTTCCCTGACAGGGGAGAGTTACATATGTTTTCCACTTGTAGTTTTTACGACAAGTTTACAATTTTGCCAAACCTGGAACTAATTGGGACTGTTTCCAAAAGCGGCCCAATAAACCCCCCAAAAGTGCAGAGCCATTCGAAAAGGCAGTCAGTGATGGTTTGCTTTCGCATTTTCTCTATTTTGGTCAAGGGTGGGGGCGGGGTGTTTAGATTGCAAAATTATTTCATTTAAGTTGCTTAAACACTTACTGTTTCATATCCTCCCAGTTTTTGAGCAGCTTGAAACATAGTCCAAAGGTTAACTGTTAGAGGGACAATAAGTATTTAGATAAGCATTGCATTAACATACTTCCAAGAAATGTCAATTAAAACATTTTTGTTCTGTTTTGTTTTTCAATGAGAAAGAGAAAAAAAAAAAAGAAACACTAACGTACCCCAGAGATCTAAGTTCTTAGGAAACAATTTGCCAAAGGGCACTCAATAACAGGATATATTATTACCACTTAAAATATTTCTAAAGAACAGTCCCAACTACGGAAATGGTTCTCCTTTTAGGATAAAGGACAACACAGTTTTCGTCCTGTTGCCATCAGCAGACGGAGAGAAGCTAAGTTACTGTGTCCTTGGGGAAACTGTGGGATTTTCCAAATTGGGGCCGGTCTTGTTCAACCCTTAGAAAGAAGCCATTGATTAAATGGTAATATATGCTTCCTTCAGATAAGAACTCTCCTTAATCAATAAATAACAGCCACATTAACCTATGATTATCTTTTTAATAGAATGTCTGATGGCAGCACTATATTAAAAGCTCGTACTGTATTTCAGGAACATGTGGTACCTTGCAGTGAGGAGGAAAAATATTTCACCCTCGAGGCATCAGTGATACAACAGATCAAAGAGAATGAAGCTACTCAATCACGGAGGAAATGAGTCCATTTAGTCCCCTAACTTGCACGTGTGGTGTTACAAAGATACACCATTTAAACCGAGTTCTCTTTACAGGGTTTGCATATGTTTATGCTGTTAAGCAGCCAGGCAAACTGCTGGCAACCCTGTTCATTTATACCCAATACTGTGGAATGGGACCACTATGGATCTGATTCTTTTATACAAGAGGGGAAGATTGAACTTCAAGTAATTCCTGGGTAAGAAGAATAAAAACTAAAGTAAAAAGGATTTTTTAAAGGCTCAGTGACACACCACGTTTGAAAAGCCTCATTGAACCTTGCACTATTTCAAAGCTATGAAGAGCCCTGCCTCGGCCTTGATTTAATCTGACCCAATGCATAATGCAAGAAAGCTGTTCATAGTACATTAATTTTACTTCTATTTCCAGCAACCAGTTTTCAGACAAACATTGTAATCATTCGTAGTTATATAAGTTTATAATGGCTGCGAGTGTTCTCTTGCAATCAGTGCCAATTGCTATTAGGTATGTAAATTGTTATGTAAAACATGCAGGTTTGACATTCTTCATCAAAATGACACATGGTTTTAATCTAGGAAGATATGTTTGGAGAAAATACTATTTCAAGCCAGGGGCTCATGCTTTGTGTGCCACAAAATCCAGACAGGGGCAAAATAGATATTCATTTGTGAAATCAAAGACAGGGTCTGGGTTGCTTCTTTTTTTTATTTGGAATTCTGGTCAGCTGTGAGTTCCCTGATTGACATAAAAATATACCGAGAATGGTTAAATGTACATGTCAATGTAATTCAAAATTGGGTCTTTGGTTCAAATTTGTGTATTTCTTGTTTCCTCTAAAGTCTTCAGGTTTTGTTATCTCCTAACAAATTTGAAGCTTAGGAAACATATTTTCTCTTTATTGTTGTTTTGTCCACCTTTAAATGTCCTCCTTTTAAAAGCTGTCTTTTCACAGGCAACATCTGTGCCTGATAAAGCTACGTCATATTATTATCTCAGAAGAAAGGCGTTGCAAACACTCAAGATTGACAAAACAGAAAATGAGAAACTTTCAACATGTCTATTTCCAGTCATAATCAGTGGATTCAAGCCTATAAATATCTCACTGCAACTGCCCCAGAAGGGAACAATGTAGCGGAAAGAGGAAGGGAAAAAAATTCCTGGCTGGATGATTTGTAGATTTAGTATAAACAGAAAGCATCATCATCCCCAGATTAGGATTTCAACATAATCCTGCCTCCAAAATATGTTTTTTTCCAATTCAAAGAAGCTGAGCAACTTTAATATGTCAAAAATGAAAACAAGTATACTTACTCTGTTTAAAACCTAAATAGGGTATTCGTTCTATTGGCGTCTTCCTTTCTTTCATGTATTTATAGAGCGCCACCAGGAAGGCCTGCTCATCTGCCCGGCACTCCTCACCAATGGCCACCTTTGGTTTTTCTTCATTTGAGACTTTTTTACAGTTATTCTGGTTATTCTTCGGTTTGGTCAAGGCAGACCTGGCCTCACATTTCACCTGGAAAAGGGGGTGAAAGTGCCACATTAAATCAAGCCCAGCTCCAGACCATTCACAAAGACATAGCTAGTGACACATTTCGCTGAGTGGGAGGGGAGAACCAATAAATTACCCTTGCTCTGCAATAGCTTTTTAGAGGCATCACTGAATATGAATTGTCTTAGACCAGGGGATGGTAAATTTCTGTCAAGGGCCAGATAGTAAATACTGTAGGCTTTTGGACCTCTATAGTCTCTGTTGCAACTACTCAAACTGAGTGTGAAAGCAGTCAGAGACAATTTGTAAACAAATGGGTATGGCTGTGTCCCAATCAGACTTTATTTATAGAAACAGGTGGCCAGTGGGCCACCATTTGCCAAACCAGAAACAGTGTTTGCATCTGGTGGGGCCATTCTTCTGCCTCTTTACATACTTTTCCTAAGGGGCAGATCTATTAATTGAACAATCCCTACCTTAAGAAATAGTCCTATATCTCACACTTTGTATCAAAATGAAAGACAAGTTGACCCCTTCAGAGGAAATTTATTTTGTTGCTACTCCTTCCAGCAACCTGAAACCACACGTGGCTGCCAGCACGTGTTGGCATCAGGAACATCAGCTAGGTCTCTGCTGGCTCACCTGAGGGTGGAGCCAGATCTACTCTTGCTAGGAAACAAAAGATCCCACTCTTTGCTGAGTGCTTCTTGCTTTTCCATCAGCCCTGAGACTGTAATAGGAAATGTGACTTTGCCACAAAGGAAAGAGTAGAGGTCAGCTAAAAACCCAAGAAGAGTAAGTGAAAAGCATAATTAAAAAATAAAGGGCGGTTAATGCTCCAGATGTTCTTCCTACCACACTCTAGGCGAATATGGAACTTGGCATACCGAACGGCTAACCTAATGTTCCCTCCTCACTGCCATGTTCTACAAGAGGCCTTTGATGGCTGTTAAATATAACGCTAAGTTGCTGAGCTATTTTAATTGTAAAAGGGGGAAGTACAAAGGGTCAAACTTTGAGTTCAAGTGTGCCCGTGGGGAATGTGTACATTCCAATATTCTTTACATCTCCATATCTAACATCGAAGAGAACAGGGCAAGTGCTGGGGAAGTGGTATGAATAAAAATGTCCCATATACTCAATAGCGTTTTCCATTTCAGATTTTTGACCTCTCATTTTCTTTCCTTTCAGCTTCTCCTTCCCAAGCACTAAGAACATAAAAGGCTATGCTTATTTATTAAAGGGAAGTGTATCCTTTTAAAAGGTTTTCTTTATTGCTTAGTCTCTCAAGTGAACATGCTAGTTTAATATCTTCAGATTGGACCTGCTAAAAATAAAACTTCCTGCACAAGTCATTCAAGTGGGCTTCTAGATAAGATTTTAATTTTTAAGGGACTGTGGAAGTGGTCTTAAAATATTTTTCCATGCAGAAGTTTACTTACAGTATTTTCAAACTTTGGTACATTGTAACATTATATATTAAGGTGAACATCCTGTGAAGCTTTATGTGGTCATCATTTTTCACTGCCAAATTTTAGATTGTTGAATCTAAAGTTCTGATGACATCTATAATTTCATAGCTTTTTGAAATCATAAAATTACTACAGTTTAAATCTGTATTGGTTCCAGCCTTTTATTTTTTTGAAGGCTTATGATGTAGCCAGGTTCTATTCTAATCACTTTTTAGGTATTATCTCCCTTCATGCCCACAACTCTAAGGAGGCAAGTTATTCTTCTCCTATTAGAGGAAACTGAGGTACAGAAAAGATGAGCAACGTGCACACAGATGACAAGGTCATGTTCAAATTATTAAGTGGCAAGTTTGGGATTTGAATCCAGGTAGTCTCAACTCTAGGCTTGTGGTTTTAAATACTATACTTTAGTGACACTGTTTTATATACATATATTAATTTATATATATATTAAGGTGTGCCCGTGGGGAATGTGTACATTCCAATATTCCTATATATATATATATGAGTAGTAGTCAAAACATACTTCCAATTAAAATGCCCATCATAATGACTAGGTTTTTATAAAACCTACAGCTTAGAAAGGTGATTTATCAAGTGAAGAGTAAAAGATAAAATTAGGTACTTTTCAAAGTAGAAAAGTGCTGTTTCTTCCACTGCCTTTAGAGCACAGGGAAGGAAACCAGTATCAACGGAGCACCTGTAATGAGCCAGAGACAGTGCTGTGGGCTTCATGTAAACTGCCTCCTGTACCTAGGAATCACAAAAGGCTGGCATTTAGCCCCACTGTACAGATGAAGAGACTGAAGCCTAGCCAGGTTATGCATTGGCTAGAGAAGGGCAGAACCCTGGTTTTAGAGGTCTCCCTCCGTCTAAACTCCAATCATGTACAAACAAGAGTAGATGTAAGGTCTGCATAAGAAACAGGCTGGGTCTTGAATCTGTAATGATAATGGGCCAATTATCTGTATTATTAGGTCAGAAATGCCATTGTTAAGGGAGTATGAGGTTTGTCCCTCAGCATTTAGATAGCTGCCTAACCTGTCTCAACTGTGCAGAAACACCCAGAAACAGAAGGAAAGCTTTGGGGGGGAGGGATGCCCAAATCAGGCTCGGCGTCATCCAGACTCCCTGCTTCACTGAAAAGGCTCCAGGTGAAGCCAGACTGCCACCTACTGAACTCCAACCTGAACCTCAGTGGGCTTCCCAGCAGCTTTCTCCCAGGGAAGCAGGAGCTTCCTAGGAAGTGAGTGGTGGCTGCCTTTCTCAGACTAGCTCCATATATTTCCTCAGTTAATATAAATGAGCCTTTTAGGATATTATTCTGTTTCTTGTAGAAACAGGCCAAGTTCCTTTCTACATTTGCTCACATGTTCCCAAACATTCTCAGCATTTTAATCTACTGAAATATTAAATGGGAGCCAGTCTTTGTGTTGACCTTGAGAACCCCCACCTTTTTGATGGTAACCATTAATTACTAGATCTTTTTAATATTTTTGCCAACTTGTATGTCTTATACTTGTTGAGTTCACTAAGAGGTTTGGGGTTTCCAAAGTGATTGAGGAAGTGCTAATTAAAGAATCCACATTTAATGTTTTCAATGAACCACTGCCTATTTGGTATTAACCACATCTTTTCACTGGATTGAGTTATAACTAATCCAGCTCTCAACCGAGGCAGTGAGATGTGCTGAACCAACAGGAAAGACGCTAGAGTAATTTCAGTTTAGTCACTAACTTGCTAGGAGACCCTCAATTTCTTCCTCAGGAAACCAGGAAGGATAAACCATGGGGGTAATTCTGGGAACCGAATGGGATGAAAAAATATTGAAAATAATGAGAGTATCCTATTTGTAAAATATTGAAAATACGTTGGTGATTTAAGTGAAAGAAGATACTGCATACCACGGCTTCCTTTTTGTGTTCCTTTCAGAATATAAACCACCTGTTACATACTTCCGGCTTTTGGAAAGTGCTTTCAGGATGTGAAAAGTCATTTGCCTTCTGTCAGGGGAGGCCTTTCATTATAGACCAAGGCTGAGATTTCTCTTGTACAGATCACCATATGAACGGGTTTGGGCCCCAGATCTGTTGATAGAAGATGATCCCAAGGGAAACAGCAGGATTTGGGTTGGATGCATTAATGACATCTTCAGAGAGCTGGTAGACTTTTTCCCAAGTGACTTTTGCTGTCTTTGGAAAGCCATGAAATTCTCAGTCTTGTAAACTTAGCTTTCATGATTGCACTGAGAGAGTGTAACCTTTTCATGGTGACAGGTAAATTACTTGACTTGCTTTTTTAGTCACACACAGAAGAAGTCCAGTGCGTTGTGGGTTACCATGTTAAGAGCTTCGCTGTGTGTTGCCGCAGAATGTGGGTACTTACCCATAGTTAGAAATGGTCTGTTTGACAGACTTTTGAGAAAAAAGTCACACAGCCCTTGGTCACAAAGCCCAACTAGCTGTCCACCTGAAACGTGGCTCCCAGCTTAGCAAATGATCAGAGTGTCACTGGTTTGTAATCTCTACCATCGCATTTCATGAGAAAAGACCACTTTATGACGCAAATGCCTCTTTAATGGTTGTCCTGACCCCAGATGTGGCTTGTTTATTCTGCAGGGATTTTACGTTGGTCTGTTGGTGCCAGCAGATGAGCCCACCATACTTCACACCCATCTGTCTCTCTCTTCCATAATGTGTGGTCTTGCCTGACCCACTGCAACAGCAGGACTATAATCCAAAACTCCAAGAAGAGTTGGATGTTTAGATTGGTCCCTGGGAGCTGGCTGCAGCAGAACATCCATACATTCACCGTTGAAACCAGCAATGGAAGGATCATCCTCCTCTAGGTAAAAATTCTGAATGGCTGCACCGGTGGGAAGTGGCACAGAAATGGTCACAGAAAACCCAGGCTCGAAGCCTGTCCCTCCTAAGAAGGATAAGTCAGAGAACATCAGACATAGAACAGGCTCCTGCTCTCTTTAGTTTTCTGGGTCTTAGTGTGAGTCCTGAGCTGCCTTCCACAGAGAGAGATATTGGAGGTATGTGTGTGCTTTCAGGTCTGCTGTATAAGTTTGATAAAACTCCCAGAGGCATATGTTGGTAGTGACTCCATGTGACATGGGAAGCAGCTTCATTCTGCTGGGCTCAGGTACAGGAAATGCTGGATAAACACATGATGTCATCTCAGAAGTATGGGGCAGGGAGCCAATGCAAGACATCGGCAATACATGCTTTGCTGAAGGTTACAGTCCTAAAATCTTCTGGCTCCATTCTTTAGTATCTTGCAAACCACATCACATGTATAATAAACTGCTCCTGCTGACATCCTTCCAGACCGTGGAAGCCGAAGATCTAGATAGGTAGTTCTAGGGCCGAGATGTCCAAATTACTGAAAAAAGGTCATACTTGGTATTCAAGTGGACTCAACTTGCAGATGGTTAAATGAACAGACCAAAAATAACTTTAGGGAAAGAGGTTTTTGTTTAGCCAGAAAATAGACATTTTTCCTGGTTGATGTCTTTTTAACCCTTGGCAATCTTGGAAGGATGAAGAAATGCTAACCAAAACATCCTCAGAAATTCCCGATGAAGATCAGATTTACAGAACGTGAATATTTAGGATTTGCTTCGTTACACTGGGAGGAGGAGTGGAGCACATGGCAGAAAAATAGATTTTCAACACAGAACTGAGTTGATGTTTTTCTCCATCAGAATCTTGCAAATTCCCCAATAATCAAGATGTTGCCACCTTCATAAGTTTAGTCCTTGGATCTGGAAATGTGGTATCAGCTGATATCTGGTCTTCAAATCAGGCCCCAAAGGGGCTATCACTGCCTTTGGCACAGAAGTAACACCTAAACACAGACACCCCATAAACGGAACCATGGAAATCCGATCCCAGCTCACAGAAAAAAAAAGATAAGTCTAAAAACAAGAAGTGACACTTCACACTTCATAGTGCTAAATACTTCAGGCACGCACTTTCAAGGTTCCAAAGAATGTGTAAACAAAATGGGCCTGGGTCCTCAAAAATTAGCCTAGAGTTTGGATCTTTACTCTGCCTTAAGAGAGATCTTTAAAAACATATAAATGTACACATAGGTATATGTATACATGTAAATATTTTGCTATGTGTCTTTAATTTTACATTAAGGTAAATTAGAGGTGATTTAAGAAATAACTTAAAAGATTAATTCTAGTCATTTCTAACTCCATTGTCTGTCAATCTCTGAAGCATATTTAGCTGAATGCATTCAGAAGGAGGATGGTTTAGCTGGTCTATTTTTGATACAGGCAGAGTAAACTATGTCATTGTGTCACCTACTATGAAATCTCAGCATCAATGATGTGGGCGCTTAATCATCTGTCTTTTACACAACAGGCCAGACTGGAAGGTGGGGAGTCTTTCTGTTGACTAATCAGAATGCATACCCCCTACCCACCCACCCTGCTCTGCCACCCAGGGCAGGGGAGGTGGTGGACACAGACACATCAGAAAGCTGTGAGTATCAAAGTCAGATTTGGAATTGCAAACTGCCACAGAGAAACAAGAATAGAGAGATAAAAAGATAAAGGAAAAATAAAAAGATACCTCAAAAGAACACCACGGCGTGAACTACTGTACCTTTGCAATGGCTTTGCCATCAGAATTGTTGTTGGAATCTTTAACAACACTGAATGAATCTCTTCTCTGTGGGCATGGTTTCTTTTTGCGCGGTCTGCCTTTAAGATTTGGCGCTGAAAACAAATGGAGAGAACAATTGATATACATTTTCACTGGCATGGATTTCTTTGTTACACACTAGGAATCTTACTACAGTGGTCCCTACTATGTGTGCCGAGAAATGTACACATCTGTGGTAGCCAGCCCTCATGCTGTTCTTCTCTCTCTGAAGGGTTGCATCTTGGAAGACCATATACTTCTGTACTTCTTGCCAAAAGCTCATCTGATATTAAATATGTCTAATTAATATAAATAAAATGAAGCCCTTAACTCTGAAGGATGATGAAAGGATAATGCATTGTTAGAAAAGAAACAGGTTGGGCTGAAGACAGCCCTGAGCCAGGCTCTGAGGTTATTCTGTTTTGTTTTGTATCTTGTTTTCAGAAACCTAAGTAATATGCCAGCCCATTATGGTATCATAGTAATGCAATGTTTGAAAACATCTCTCTTCCAAATTGGAGGCATGAGCATTTTCTCAAATTATACAAGTACGGAGAGAGAGAGAGAGAGAGAGAGAGAGAGAGAGAGAGAGAGAGAGAGAGAGAGAGAGAGCGCGCTATAGAGAGAGGCAGTCACAATAACAATCTGAAAAATACTATTACATGCATTTACTAATAATATTGCGACGAGCATGTTTCAAATCTGAACAAATCTGGCAGATATATTTAAATCAGCATGTTCTCTTTTCCTTTTTCAATATATTTTTTAATGACTATCTTGAGGGTTATTTAAAATAACTCCCAAAGATCACACTGGGGTCAGCCAGATTCTGTGGAGCTTATACTTTCTAAAAGCTACAGACAAGATGCAAATCAAAGTTATGTTTCAACCTTGATGTTAAGTTTGAATCCCTTTAAGAGCCATACAGAAAGCAGAAAAAAAAAAGCTGCTGTTTACTGAGTGCTACGGCTGGGCTGTCCGGCATCAGCTTTCACATTCAACTTCATCAGTCACACAAGTTGAACAAAAGTAAAACAAACCAACTAACCAACTAGTCCTTGAAGAATTCCAAACGAATGAATTATACCCCAAGCGATTCCTTTCAGACCTTTCCAGGTACCCACACTTTTCCTGATTATGGCAATGCCAAATCTGGACACCTAGAATCCTCCTAATTAATCTTACTCATGTAAGATTAATCCTCCTGTTGTTAATCTTACTCATGCCACGCAGTTAACCTGTGGTTTTTAGGGCATTTTATATTGTGCTCATTTTACAAACACAGTTAATCCCACTAATTTGATTTTCTACTGTGGATAACAGTTGGTTGTTCCTAGAGCTTAGTATATAGAGCTGCCTTTACAATCAGGCAAAAGTTTCAAAAGTGCCTTTGGGGCTCCAGCTCAGATATCCCCTCCCAAATCCCCTCTCCCTTCTCTCATTACCCCCAAATGTGTCTCTGAAAGTCCATCCCCCAAAAGCCAGCCTGGAATTATGGAAGGTAAACAAGCTCACAAACCCAAATCAAGCAAAGAGAAAGTAGCGATTACCCATTCCAGTCGACAAACATCTGCCTGACGCTGTCTGTGCTCCTGAAAGCTACAGCATGTGACTGACTGCTCCGCGGCCACGTCCCTGGAAGCCCGGACTGGACTTGGTGTGGATGTCAGCTTTCCTCCGAATGAGAGCTGTGAGCCTCCGCGCTCCGCTTACAACTCCCCTCCCCCCCGCAGCTTCATTACTCATGTAAACACACAGCGGTGACTAGCACCGAGTGTGTGGGATCAGCTCTGAGGACTTCGCTGGAGTTGCCAGACTGGCAAAGAGGGCTCTGCTCTCTCCACCTCCCTGCGCAGGGTTGGTGACTTCATCTGGCCTGTTCTGTGGATCCTGACCTCCTGCTCCCCTGTCAGTGCATGATGCCAGCTTCCATGACTGACACAATCCTCAGCCTGAAGCCAGGGTGGGGACTCTTTTGGTTGGAACACATGGGGTAGCACAGAAGTGTTTCCACAATTGACCCAAGTACTAAGACTTGAGTGATTGCTGGGGAAGAATGTACTTTCACGTCCCCTTATCAAAATAATAGCTGAGCAGAAAGCAGACAGACAAACTTGGGGTAGGTCTGAGGCATTTTACTGAGAGGAATAAAACAATACCACCTCTGTTCTAAGACTTGTTACTACAGTCTTTCCTTCCTAACATTTTGGCAAAAAGCATTTGAACCTAAAAGGCATTTATTTCCAGAAAAGCTTTCTAATCCCAAAGGCCTTTCAGATAGAGAGAATTGGCATTGAATGGGCTGTTTTAAGTAAAGACAATGGTTCCAGGAACTGACAATAAGTCATCTCCAAATCAGGCGTGTTTCCCCCATTCTTTGAGCTGTTTTCAGAACCCAGAGAAGCACATGTCCTTGCCCAGAAGATTCTGAGAATTACAAATTTAGAACACACTAGCATCTAATAGTCTGGTCACACAAACTTCAACTCTATGTGAGATCTGATCAAGAGAAAAGAGCCTCTTGTTCCTAGTAAGGCAAGCACACTGATATTTCAGGTATGTTAGCTGAATCCCACCAATCACTTAAGTCTCAACTCAATTTTCTCTGCCCTCTGAACTCTGTTTCTGACCTTCTCTTATGCAGGGCATCGCTGTTCTTTGTATTTGAGCTGTGTTTTATGGCTTATTATTATACTGTAGGAGAGTCCATGAGGACAGGACCATGCTGGGTTCATCTCTCATCTGCCCCAGCACATACCTAGGAGGCAGCATTGCATAATATGAATTTGTTGGGTGAACACGGGACTAATGGAATAAATATGCCCATATATCTTTCCTTTGTGTCTTCATGAACTGGGCCTGTCCACCTGTCACACTGGGCACCTGTAAAATTGCTTTCACCTTTACTACTTACTCTTGAGCTTTGAAAGCATAAACCAGTGACTTGAGTTTGCTGTGGGAATTAAGACAGGAAACTTGCAGCCTTTGGTTCCTGATTACTCTGTTAAGCCATTGTGCCTGGCACCTTGTCACTGCGGCCACAGTCTTGTCACACATGTAATGAGCAAATGTCCTGAGGAGCAGATGGTCAGAGTCCCGAGAGGGCGGGGCGGAGGTGGACCATGAAGGCCTGGGTGGGAGGTCCCGCAACACAATTTAAGACCTTTTGGTTCCACAGAACCCAGATGATTCTTTGAATTGGGAAGGTGGGTTTTTAGTTTTTTTAATTTTTTTTTTTTTATTTTTAGAGAAAGGGGAAGGGAGGGAGAAAGCAAGGGAGAGAATAATCAATGTGTGTTTGCCTCTTGAGTGCCCCTTCTTGGGACCTGGCCTGCAACCCAGGCATGTGCCCCAACTGGGAATCAAACCAGCAACCCTTTGGTTCTTTGTATCTACTGAGCCATACCAGCCAGAGTGGAAGCTAGCTTTTCTGGGAAGAGGAAAATTTCTTGTCCCCAGGCTATATATTTTTTTCCTACAGGGTCAAGAAAACAAGTAATTTGCTAGGTAGGTGAGTAAATTAAATGCTTTATGGCATGATGGTGGTCAGGGGTCAGGTGGAGGCTCTGGCCTTTCATTCTTTTACATAAGAAAATAGGTCCACCTGGCTCAGCGTTCCTGGACCTACCTGAGCCTGCCCTCCCCGCTTGACAGCTAAGGGCTGCGTACCTACCTACTGACAGAACCTTAGTCCTAGACTCCAGATTTAAACCAGCTTCAGCCCTTTAGATGAGACTGATCTCTACCAGCAAAGTCATTCTGGGAAGCCAGCAGTACACTTACCAAAGGTCAATTCTACTAAAAAAAAATGTGGAGCAATAAATGCACAGTTGCTTTCCCATGTATATATAATCTGCTAATCAGCCCTGGCCTGGCTTGCTCATAGAGTTCAATGATCTTTGCATGAATGTTTTTAATATCATACATGAAGAATAATAAGAACTGATACTACTGAGTACTTTCTCTGTGCCAGCCAGTGCTTTGTGTACAATAACTCATTTAAAACTCACAACATGCCAACAGGAAGCTGTGATTATTAGTCCCATTTTACAGACCAGGAAACTGAGATAGAGATGAAATTACTTGTCTTAGTTCATACAATGGGTTACAGGTAGCAGAAGGGTTCCAGCCCAGCAACTGGATTTTATCCAGAGCTTCTACATTAAGTAACTTCTCTCTAATAGACACACACACACACACACACACACACACACACACACACACTCTGTCCCATAATGAGGTATTTATATGATTATCTTGGGCTGGCAGTCACCAGGGAGCTTTCCCCAAATGGAAAACACTCCTGAATACCACCTAGCATAAGGGTGTAGCAGCCCATCTCAGGCAGCAAACAGCACCCTACAGACTTGACAGCAAGCAGGGTCCCCACTGATCCTGACTCAGCAACAGGTGACAGGCTTCCACCAAAGCCACAGAGTTCCAGTAAGACTTAGAGAGCCATGCACAGGACCCCTTTGCAGTGGGCCATGGACTCTTCCACACAATCAGTGAAAGACCCCTGTGATTTAAAAAAAAACTCCCCCTATGAAACCCATCTGTTCCTCTTACTCAGTGCCATGAAATTAGCAAGTGTTCACCTTTGAGCAGTCACTGCTATTTCCATAAGTGTTAATCCCAGGAGAACCAGAGACCACCAGTGCTCCAGGCTGCTTTGACATCTAACCCTTCTGTTTTGTTTTGTGATTTCCCCTTTTTAATTCCTTCGCATATTAAACAATTATAGTCTTTTTTAAAAGACAATATAACAGCACAAGTTTTTTTTCCCCTTAGAGTCTAGAACTCAAGAGTCACAGGCATTTATTTATTTATATATTTCCTTCACAATGGGTTCTGACAAGTTATGTGCCAGTGCAGGTGTGGGAAACTTTCATCTCAACCCCAACTCTTGCAATAATAATAATAAAACAAAGGAAATGTAACCAGTTACTGGCAAAGTAAATTGCTTTTGGCTTAAATGTTCCTGTTTTTTTCAACTGTGTTCTTCCTGTCATGACCGTCTCTATTTTTTTTTATAACATTTATACTCATGGAAATACCACGAAGATAAACTGCT